ACAAGAAGCCGTTCTCTCACCTCCCACGGGTCCTCTGGCTGGTAGACACCTGTTCTGAGTGATTTCCTTCGCCACAGCTTTCCACAATCTAATTCGAGACCAAAAATCGCCCGAAAGAGGTCCTCCGCGTACGCTCTCAGAATGTCTAACGTTGCTTTCGGAACCCGTAAAACAAGTCTGTGAAGCAGCGTCGAGCACGCCCTGTCTTCCACTCTCGAACCTTCAGCAACGCTTCAAGCCGCCGGCTGTCACGGAAACGCCTCGGAAGCATCGGAAAACCCGTTCTCTCACCTCCCACGGGTCCTCTGGCCACGGGTCCTCTGGCTGGTAGACACCTGTCCTTCGCCACAGCTTTCCACAATCTAATTCGAGACCAAAAATCGCCCGAAAGAGGTCCTCCGCGTATGCCCCCAGAATGTCTAACGTTGCTTTCGGAACCCGTAAAATAAGTCTGTGCAGCAGCGTCGAGCACGCCCTGTCTTCCGCTTTCGACCCTTCAGCCACGCTTCAAGCCGCCGGCTGTCACGGAAACGCCTCGGAAGCATCGAAAAAGCCATTCTCTCACCTCCCACAGGTCCTCTGGCTGGTACACAAGAAGCCGTTCTCTCACCTCCCACGGGTCCTCTGGCCACGGGTCCTCTGGCTGGTGCACAAGAAGCCGTTCTCCCACCTCCCACGGGTCCTCTGGCTGGTAGACACCTGTTCCGAGTGATTTCCTTCGCCACAGCTTTCCACAATCTAATTCGAGACCAAAAATCGCCCGAAAGAGGTCCTCCGCGTACGCCCCCAGAATGTCTAACGTTGCTTTCGGAACCCGTAAAATAAGTCTGTGAAGCAGCGTCGAGCACGCCCTTTCTTCCGCTTTCGACCCTTCAGCCACGCTTCAAGCCGCCTGCTGTCACGGAAGCATGCCCTCGGTTGCCTCCTCTGGCGCGCGCCCCCTTCAACCGGCGGGGTCGGCGGATTACTAGCGACCTATAACTAAAAACTCACTCACTCACTCGCGCACTCATGCGTGCACTCACGCGTGCACTCACCTCACCTCACCTCACTCCACTCCACTCCACTCCACTCCATTCCACTCCACTCCACTCACTAGAAACCTGCTACTACTACCGCTACCACCACTGCTACCACTGCCACTATGACTGAAGGAAACAGTACTAAGCATGGAAGATGGTTTTCCATCGAACGCATAGCTGGGAGACGGGACCTCTTCGGCCTTTGCTGATCTGTGATTCCCGGAACCGAACACCTCAAGGTGGTGGATTGGGCACTGGCTGAGTCGCACTGGAAGCACCAGAGCAGCCGGCCGCAGGTGTGGACTCGGAAAGAAGCGCGCAGCCCGTCCATGGGTAGCATTTTTGATTCTGATTTAGAGTGTATCCTTAGTGGAAACTGATCGATGAAGACCTTCACCAAGTCCCAAACCCACCTCGGACTCGCCACCGAACTTCCCGGTTTGCCTTAAAGCTTTGAAACAGAATCCCTAACTGATACACATAGGGCCGATCGTAAATGCGAATCTAAGAATCATGAAAGGATCTATATTTCTGGGCCCCCGCGATTGAAAAACGCTGCATCGCGATTGATCGGCGCTTGGTTCGCGATTGAGAACCATATTAATTATGCAATAATATATTGTATAATATGCAATCCTGTTTTATATAAGTATAAAGAACCAAAGGATCTTCAGAACAATAGAATGCCCAAAGCAATTTGCATAAGCAAGAAGAACTCAAGAATGATGTTGATTTCTGCAGACATTTTCCCCAGACAGCGGGTCCTAGTGGGGTTCTTACTTCAAGTCTAGGGAGAGTTGCATGTGTGCGCTTTCGAGCCTGGGTGCTGGTGCCGCTTCAAGCCGCTCCTGTGTGCGCTTGGGGGCTTTGGTGCTGGTGACCCATTTCGCTTTCCCACTTCTTCGGACTTTCTTTGGAGAAGGGCAAACCAGAAGCGCAAGGGCCAAGGCCTGATCTGAACTGAATGTGACCAAGTATATGACGTAAGGTCAATGGAACAAGGTGGCTAGTCTAGCCCAGACTGTTACCTCTCATGCTTTCGGTCCTGCTTTAGAATATGCAGCCAACCAAGTTTTAGGGCCGGGGCCCTCAGCGCACACGGCCACACATTTGGCAGCAGCGCCCTGCAGCAGCACCGGCACCGGCACCCAAGCTACAGCAGCGGCACCGTGCAGTGGTACCAGCACCCAAGCTCCAATTTGCACACGCGCACCTCTTCCTATACTTGAAGTAAGGACCCCAATTGCTCTCGCTATCTGGGGAAAGACATCCGCGATTGACAACTGTGTGGCCGCGATTGCAACTGCGATTGATCGGCGGTTGTAGCGTTCCCAGATACCTTAATTTTGATCAACCCCCATATGTATACTGATGATCATGAATTTGAAAGAAAGGGTCCTTGCATGGTGTTTTTCCAATGAAGATTAAGACCAAATAACTCTTTAAGGCCGTCCAACTCCGTCCAACCAAACCACTCCACTGCGAATCGCTCCTCCAGGGCTTCGAAGCGTTGATGCCCAGTCGCGGGCTGATTGGCGACTGATGTGGGTCACAAAAAGTGGTCCTCATTCGCAGGTCGTTTTTCCTTTTTTCCTGCGAGGCTGTTGTTTTTTTTGGTTGGTGTAGCAGCATGGAGGATGTTGTTGTTCGCGTTTTCTCGATGTTTGCGCTGTCCGTCCGAGAGGGAATAGATCCTGGGAACATGAAGGCTAAATTGGACTGATGAGAATCCCCTTGCCGGTGGAGGAACATGTGTCTTCCCAGTGGCATCTTTTCCACTTCCATGTTAGTGAGTCAATATACTGTACTGTATATAGATTCACCATGATTCACCCACCAGTAGGAAGGGCACACCACAAAGGTTTCCACGACGATCACCCCTGTTGGGTTGAGCTGGGTTCAAACAGATTGAGGACGTCCTCCACGAAGGCGCATTGAGTTCCAATCTTTGTTGCCTACAATTAGAATGATCGTATTCACACCACCAGGAGTCAGGTCATTTTGAGTTTTCTTTTCGCTTTGAGCGGCCATGGCCATGGCTATCTAGCGACTACCACCAGTACCACAGAAGCCACCTTCGAGACTTGAAAGTCTTTGTCGTGATCCCCCCAAAAGATACAGTACTAGTGGCACAAGTTTCCTGTCTACATGTTCAGCCTGGGGATCTACTTATCTTCTATTCTATTTGGGGGTCGATAGAACCAAAAAAACACCCGTGTCTCTCACGGGCACGAATTCCTTCGGGGTCCGTGAATTCCTTCGGCCCACGGCTTCGATCCGCGATCTGCCAGAATGACCGGATCGGCAGTGCCCGGGGAGCCATCGAGGCGAGGGGTTCACCCGGTGCATGGGGGATCGTTCATGCGCCTTCGGGCTCACTGGATGACTGGATGACTCAAGGTACCATACAACATGTCCGGGCGTTTCTCTCATGGTTTGCAGTGGCTTCTCAGTGGCTGGGTCGCCGTAGATCAATACAGTAGATCTTCCAGCTATGCAACATGTCTGGAGCCATGACTCTCATGATGAGGTCAGAGTGCATGAGCCTTTGTTGCACTCCATGTTCCTTCCACCAAGACATCAAGACACCTCACGGAGCAAAAGATGAGCACAAACGGGAGATCCAACACTCCACCTACCCCCACCCAAGTCTTTGCCCCTGAATTGATATATTTCCGGATGGATTCTATTAGGGGCTGGCTCAGGTTCTCCTATTTTGCATACAGAAGTCCTGCTTATAGGGGTATCGTCAACCTAGGGTAGGGTCGAGGCAAAGCCAAGTCAAAACCTCCCGCTCCAAACCATGAGAAGGTTGACATCCCCCAAACAGGAATCAGTTCTTTATTTTCGGTGGTGAACCAGGATCAATCCTGTTTTGACCATTGACCCATCCCCCCTTCAGAGATTCAGAATGCATATATGAACAAAACACATGTTTTACTTGTACAAAAACCAACGACGCGCCCCAAAACTGCATCGAAACGGCGCCGAACCTGCAGGTGAAGGAGCATCCTTGGGTCCTGGAGGTCGGGCGGGAGAGCCTCTACGAACATTACGACAAGAGTGACAGGATTCCTGCAATTTCACCTGATTTCACCTGGAGACCTAGAGTTGAGACCCAGCAAATTTGGCCTACCAGACAAACTCTAGGTCTCAAACCTATAGAGTTACATAAAATGGTAAAGGCTTCCAGATTGGTTTTCTCAGAGACGGTTGGTTCGCAACAGCATCGATCAGATCGCTGGGTCGGAAATGTGTTCGACCGTTCTTTTGCACTTCATGTTCGACCGTTCATCCCATTTTCGAGTGGCTTAGTACTGGAGTCGGATGGGTCCAAGTGCATGGCTTGCGTTGAGTGGTTCTTCGGCACAGCTTGGCTCAAGCCGAACGCAAGCAGGCAGAGGACTGATCCCGATCCACAAGCAGTGGGCATATTTAGTGTTTGTCTTCAGCTGTGAAATACAGAGACCTCACACAACAATCTTTACAGAGATGAAGATAGCCTTTATAAACTTCCGCAAGAATATACTCAGTTGGCTTGCCGATGACAAAAGCCTGACATCAACATCAAATTCCATCAACAACCATGGATGATATTTTAATATCCTATACAACCAAAAGGTTTTGACCCAGGCCAGCATCCCCACAAAAGCTGCACTTTGGAACCCTGGCGTTTCATCATACAACTGCAGGAACTGCTACGGCCGGCATCAGTTTTTCACCGATCGTGGCTCCGTTTGAGCCGAAGAACTGCTCCATCAACCCACGATTGCACAAAAACACCCAAAACGATTTGCCCTGGAAGAGAAAGATGACACAATCCAAATCAACGCTCTCAGGGCGCTCCATCCAGCCATTTCCCTCCCGCCGTTGGGGTTAGATCTGAACTCCCACCGTTAGGGTCGGCCGTTGCGGTCGTCTCGTCCGTGGCTTGGCGGCGCGCGCGCGTGGCTCCGCCGAGCTGAAGAACGCACCATGCGCTTCACCGAGTTACTCGAGGAGAGCAGCGGGGTGAACCGAGGTGCCATGCAAGACCTACGGGATGAGGAGTCCAAACCCGCCAAACCTGGAGCCCCAGTCGACAGTCCACCAGGGGATGCGGGGGATGCGCATGCCACTGGGAGGAGCCCAAACCTGGTGGCCCACGATCCACCATGGTAGTGAACAACCGACACTTCTAGATTTGTTTCAGGTTTTGGTAGGTCAAGCGGTTGGTCTCCATATGTTCCCGTATGGGTTTCCAGTTGCCCTGAAGCTCTCTTGGAGTAACCAGCTACATGGGGACTCTTTCGGTCTTTGGACCGAGCTGTGTGGTTCTATCTCTTTCCCTGACTGGAAGACTATGCTGTTGGGGTTTCTTACTTCTGGCCCTGACCAGCACTGGAACCTTGGAACCTTGGAACCAAGCCCATCCAAGCCCTGTGATGCTATTCAATGTGATTTGCAATCTGTGTGGGGTGAAAGCCGAGTGGACAAGGAGGACAAGCATGACTGACTGCCGTGACAGTGAGACTCTTTTGAGGCCAAATGTTGGAAGATGACAAATCGATCAAACTGCAGAAGCCATCACAGATCAATCACAGATCATGACTTGTTGAAATCATTACTCACTCAAAATTTGAGGAGTGTTTCAGTATTGAGCAGGGGTGTCCCCTCATTTCGTTAAGATGCAAGACCTCGATGTCCTCGCAGTGAATCTTTGGAATCTGACCTGCAATAGACCAAGAACTTGCAATGACACAGCCAAGTGGTTCTGACTCCAAGAAAGATTAAGAAGTTGAGGGGGAGTGTTTGGGGTTCATCATGTACAAAGAGGAAGTCTACATCATAGCTCAGCCAGCGGGGGTCTTCGTGTTCAACTCCCCAGTTCCTTCGGTGAGCCCGTTCGACACAGCTTTACCGGCCTGAATGAACCTGAACGACCAAAAGTTTGGCCTCGCTCGGGGCAACCTCCCCATCTTCCACCAAGCCAAAAGAGGTGAAGGCCGTGAAGGCCCAAGTTCGAGTGCAACGAACTTCACCCGACTTTTGCAAGCACAACTAAGAAACAAGAAGCTACTAAGAAAAAAAGTGCATCGCTACTAGTAACAAGTGCCTTACTAGTAGTAACAAGAAGCTAGTACCGTATATGAGTAGAATTTGATTAGAATTAAATTACAGTCTTTGTTCTTCCCTGCACTTCGACCTGCACGAATTGGTACTGTTTGATTGACCCAAGACCGGCGTCTGGGGCCGAAGCATCGGGTCGGATGATCAGGGGCCGAAGCATTCGGCGGCGCAAAAGGGAATAGTGGACACCCAGTAAACAAGAACAGGCTCAAGTGTTGGGTGAAGCTATTTCTGTCCAGTTTGCTTTCAGGAGAACATGCTCCTGAGATGGAGGGCCTACTATGTGAATTACAGGCTGTGGGCCTGCGGCGGGTGGGCGAAAGATGAGTGGAGGGACCATTGCACCCCAATCAGACTACCAACTGTTGTATACGCAGGTGTCGGCGTAGTAGGCCCTGGTGAGTCAAGTATGTGCAGTCAGGATCCCCGACGACGCGGAGTTGCCTGAAATTGATCTGTATTTGCGGGTAAAGATGTTCTCGCTGTGAGGAATGGTGGCAGGTAGCCTTGCTGGTGGCTTTTCGGTCCTGCAATGGGGACCAACGAAGTGTGCTTTTTGGGATGTAGATTGCTTTTTTGGGACGAGCTCTAAACGCATCTGAAAGCCATTGCACTGGGATATGTTTGTTCCGAGCTTTTCAGAGTCCATGTCAAATGAAATCATGTTTTTGTCGCTGGCGTCAACATCCGCATGGCAAGAAGGTTCTGCATGGGTATGGTATCGTATGGCTCAAAGGAGCTGGGTGGGCCCTGCCAACTCATGGGAAAAACGAGGAACAGGCCCAGAATTGGCTGGAACCCACCACAGCTTGCGGCTCCCTGGCTTTCTTACCCGAGGAGATACTTACCCGAGGAGATAGAGCGTCCGGCCGCCTGATCTGAACTTCCAACTTGCACGTCAGTTGCATGATTTGATGGTAGCCTCAGTGACTCAGTTGTATTGTGTTACTTGTACCCTCCTTCCAAGAATCATGGAAGTGGATGCCATGGCCCCTGGAAAGACCATGATTTCCTCTACAAACGAGGGGTGAACCGATCCCACACGAATACGATCGAATACGACTCAGTGCATCCTCAGGGCCATGAAGGTTTGCATCGAGGAGATCGAAGCAGACCCATCTTCATCCAACGCTCACTTCATTATGTGCCTCAATTTCAATCAATTCTTATTTAGTCTTGGTCTTGGTGATGTGAACAACGACTTGTGCGTGTGTTGTTCCTGATGAGTGTTACTTAAGACGCTTGTGCTGTCCCAACAAGAAGCGTTCATTTATGTTCATTGTTACTGCAGGCACTTCTTTTCATGTGTTGTTTTCTCGACAATGCCAACGACTTCTACGACTCAGGATGCTCAAGAGCAACATGCTGAAGGCGCTGACCTTTTACGAGAAGACTGAGTACAAGCTACGCCAAAGGCGGCGCCCAGACAACGGGGGTGAAATGGACACGAGAAAGAGATCTCTTCTTTTTATTTATTAAGTACTGGAAAACCTTTCGACTTTTTGTGGGATTGGTTTCCCCACTAAACACTGGTGGAAAAAGGTTAAACAGTCAATTAGCCTCTATTTGCATGGATCAAAATGGATCAAAATGATCAAAAGGTAAAGGTTTCGACCTTTACTCATGGAATTTATTTTTTCCATGGATCCTGGGCTCGGGACTTTGAGTTGTTCGCCATCTTGATTGTGGCACGGTGGGTGCGAAGGTGCGAAGCCGAACAGCCGAACCCGAAACACAGTCACACCTTGAACAAGGCGGCCATAAGCAGAAGTCGACATGAAGTATGAAGTTGACAAGAAACATATATTATTTAGCAGATGCAACATGTTCGTCCATGGCCTTTATGTACTTCTTCCCTGTTTTCCGCTGATTGTGTTATGTACATCAACCACGAATAGTGTGGCTACATGGATCTGTCGCAGAACCAGACTACTCCCACGCGATTTCATCTATGCTCCGGCATACTTCTGTTCCAGGCAGGTGCAAATAGAACCCACAAAACACGTACTGCTGTGTTCTAGAGTCTATAGTGTTGGTCTATCTGGCTGTACTGATTCCATGTGTTCCATCCACAGGATCGAGCAGTACATTTTCAACGAGAACAGGCTGGGACCAGGAACGGAGCGATCCCTAAAGCACCATGATCTAGCTGTTCAAAGCGACCGGGTGCGCTAATTCAAGGTGTAGCCATGTAGCCACATCCAACAAATCACGTTGTGATAGGAGGGCAGGAACTGAGAAGGCACGTGCTCAGCTCGAAGAGGTCGCCACAGAGCCAGAAGGATCTGGAACACGAGGCCCGAGCGCGAGCGCCGCGAACGCCGCGAGCGCGAAGCGAGGTGTGCAGCAGCAAGATGTGTCAGGGAAGACTTGTGGAATCTTGTGGACATTCACTCCGCCCTTTTTTAACAAATTGTGTGAACAGATTGTATATGGTACTATTTACATCAATGACTATCTAATACAGCAATTGTGGAATCATGCAAAAATGATGTATATATAAACATTATGTAAATATTGGTTCGGCTGGGAAGTATATATCTAGCCTTCGATCGCACTTTCCTCACATGGTGCACATGGGTCCTCTGCACCGTTGCTGCAGAGGTGAAGGATTTGCGCTGGTACGCCTACTACAATCGTGAAGCGATTCGAAAGATTGCCAAGAAGTGCCCAGTGGTCCGGGAGTGTGAAAGAGCCATGAATCATGGATGTTTTACAGTGGTTTCAGATATGTTCAGACTAGATGGCACAAGTTACCCCAAGTTCGGTGGTTTATATGTGGCCATAAAAGTCTGAAGACCGGGATAACTCGTGCCAACCTCACCTCTGAAACCGCCAAACTCCGATGGGACGAATCGCTCCGCTCCGGGACACACGGTCGCACGGGCTTCGGGCGGCGTCCGGCGCGTCTTGGGAGAAACACCGATGAAATCGGCCGGGCGCAGTGTTTTCTGAGAGGCGAAAGGCCGAGTGGTTGCCGATGTTGCCAAATCATTGTAGACTGTTGAGAAGTCAAGCCCCCCATGTGGAGGATGTGAAAACCATTCTGGAGACAGGGAGTTTGATTCATCAAGAGTCTACATTAGGAAGCATCTAGCGCCAGGATCCGCCAGGTTCATTTGATGGCTGGACAGCTACAAGATTTGAACATCCAAGTTTTGGGGTGGTGAACCCATGATTCCGGTGCCCGGACACTGTCTGCGGACTTGACCCCCGCAGCGGGGTAGGTATGACACAGCGCGGTAGGTATGACAAGCGTTGCGGGAAGTCCAAGACCATGCAGGCCGCTTTGAACAGACTTGCAGTGGATAAAGTTGAACCATGAGGTTTTCTCTTTCTTTATAAACAAGTGCCACGCTAGTAGTAACAGGTGCCTTACTAGTAGTAACAAGAAGCTATTAGTAACAAGTGCATCGCTAGTAGTAACAAGAAGCTATTGTTTGATCCAACGTACCTACAGGTCGATTGGTGTGAAGGATTCCTTGTTTCTGTGTTTGACGACCTCCGTGAGCATCAGCGAACGCCGAGACCATGGTGGCTTGTTGTGGCTTACGATTTCCTGACTTCGACCTGATGGTGGCTCCATTTTCAATCAGGCTTCATCATGGATGCACTTCAAGCGCTGTTTCACAAACTCAGCAAATCCCCCGCGAGACGAAAGAATCACACATAAGATAAATCAAGACCATATACCAACTCTCCGTCTCTTTCTCGGTTTTATACCCGTTCGGATCCCCCCATCACTCCCCACCGCGTCCCGGATCATCCTTCCGCACGGAATGTGCTCTCGGTGCAGTCGGATCTCATGGAGACTTTGCACGGCTCGTTGATGGCCAACGCCGAGAAGCGCTGCAGCAGTTTGCTCACTGCTCTGCAGGTCCGGACTGGGGCGCCAGGGTCGAGGGTCGATTGGTCGATTGGTGCGGGAAAAAAAGGGGACGTGTGACTGTCTCGTTGGACATTTGGGATGTTCTTGGGTCATCCAGACCAAGTATCACCAACAGTGATGAAATGACACCATTGCCACAAACTCTGGTTTTGGCATTCTCCCTACTGCGCACCAAATCCATTCAAATTCTAGCTCGAACAGTTCTATTTTTTTTTTCAAAGCATGACAGAATAGATTGAATAGATCCATATTAAAACAATAATTATTAAACTCCTTTGGATTCTTACCATTGCCATCATATTTTGGGGCTCCAAAAGAAGACACGACCTCCCTGCAACGACAGGCACTCGCAGGAAAGACCAGAGACACTCGCAGATCCCGCAGGAGCCGGACGAAGGTGACCTGCCGCTGTCGCAGCCCTTGATGCAAGCAGAGCGGGATGAGTTTCTTGGATTAACAACACTTCCTAACCCAGAGGCACCACTGTCCGCAATACAAATAAATATATTGACTCACATGGAGCCTCAGGGTAACAGATCTTCTCTTGCATAGACTTCATGTTTTGGTCGAAAAGTCCCATTCCAGTCAGCATTATTGTATTGGGATTGCTATCAGAAGCCTTGCTCCTAGTGGATCTAAGCTTGCCACCTTTGGGACGAGCCGAACCTCGACCTGTTCTCGCATGTGACGGTTCTTGCGTTCAGCTGTAGGATGCGGATGCATTCCCGCGTGCTCCAGCCCATATTGGAAAGGCACACGCGCGAAGGCTGGGCCGTGCGCCAACCCTGAAGATCCCGGAAGATCACAGATGTCGATTTGGCACATGTGGGTCCTGTCCGGCACACGAAGGGAGAGATGATGCGGGACTGATTCAAGCACACTCAACTAGGCACTTGATCATGGACAACGTGATTTAGCTTGGATGTTTCACCTGAGAAGTGTCTCGCGATGCTTCTCCGGATCCGTCTGCAGTTTGAGACCCTTCTAGCGCTGTTCAAAGCAGCAATTCATTGCAGAATTGTGATAGATCCCAGACACACACACAGATAGATATATATATATATAAATATATATATATATATGGGAGTCGTTCTAAACCCCATGTAATTTTGAATAACCATATATACACCGGCACCTGGTACCCCTGAAGAGTGATAATTATCACTCCATTTTGTAATTATCAATCTTTTGGATAGTGGTGTGACAAAAAGCACTCCAGAGTGGAAAAAAATCAGTCCAACCGCAATTGCGTTCAGATTGCGTTCGCATTGCGTTCACTTTGCGTTCAATTAACGTTCGCTTTGCGTTCAAGATACGTTGCGGAGCAACAAAAACCATTCTGGAACAACTATTCTCACTCCGGAGTGCTTTTTGTCACACCACTGTCCAAAAGATTGATAATTACAAAACGGAGTGATAATTATCACTCTTCAGGGGTACCAGGCAGTATATAGATTCATGATTCATCATGATTCAATATGATTCATATCGGTGCAGTCTTGAGAATTGGAGACCTCCCAGCTCGACTCCCTGGAGGTTTGAACACCAGTCTAGCCAGCTGACCGGGGCGAGATCTTCGGGTGTCTTCCGAAAAGACGGACCCCTAGATTCCAGATAGACGGTTCCGAGGCAACTAGTCATATTAGAAGAATGACTTCAGAAGAGGCTGCGACTGAAATTCTTGAGTCCCAGCCAAAGCTGGATTCGGTTTGCCTCAAGAAACCTTCTTACTCCACACACCTCCACACCACGGCAAGCCTATGCAGCCGCCTGATCACAACTGCACCTCTTTTGCCATTGCAAAGCCCCTCCCAAACACACCACTCATCTCATCCACTATCTCTCCCTCTATGAGGTTGGAGACCATCGCTATTGGGTGGAGGCCATTGCTTCTAGGTTGGAGCCATTGCTATTAGGGTCTCTCTCCCTCTCTCTCTCTCTCTCCTCTCGCAAGGCGACGAGAGTCCCACGGACGTGGTCCGGAAGCCATCGACGATGTCCAACATCTCTGCGCCCTTTGAACTGGTGAAATCCGTCGGTGCCTCCCCGGAAGCGGCTGTGTCGGTGCCATGGCAGGAAGGGACGGCGATGGGAGGAGCAGGGAAAGAGGGCAGAAAGAAAGAAGGTCGAACGACCTGAACTGAAGGGCCTGGTCATTTTATGTCATTTTCATAAAAGAAACATAAAGAAACATATAACCAACAATCATCCCTAATAGGGCCGGGTCATTTTCATAATCATCCCATTTATGTTATTTTCGTGGATTTTAAGACCTCTTTGGACCGACCTTTGATCGCTGAATGCACCGAAGACCTTCACGACCGGACACGGCCAGTTCGACAGCGACGATGACGGAAGTGGACAAACCTCCGAATACCGGAATTCCATTTGTAGGGATCCAGTCGTACCTTCTTAGAAGGTACGACTGGACCCTCCAAACCCACAATTTCTGTGCCTCCACTCACTTTCTCGGGTCTTGATGGTCTTTCATTGGTCTCTCCAAGAATTGAAGTGGAAGTCCTGGAAAGACCCATTTTTCACGAAACCGGTCCAGGGTATCTTAAATGGACCTTTGGAAGGTTAGCTTCCTCCACCAACCAGTTTCCAGGTTCCATGTGGGTCTTCCAGGCCTCACCTACTCACCAATATTTCTCTTCCATTGGGGGAACGATGTGGAACCTCATATACTCTCCGAGGAACATGAGTCAGCTGTTAGTGGAAAATCAGCTGTTTGTAGAGAAAAGGCATCTTTTCAGTGGGCCTATGCCACACCTGTCACACAGAAAGCTCGTTAATATGTTTGTACCACAGTTAGTTGTGCTTGGTCATTTTGACACAAGGAAGGCGACTCCTTTAGTACTTCCCATGCACGGCAAGTGGATTTTATTCGCCGCATCAGCACCTTCTGGTAGATCAACCGACGAGGCGGAGACCCTGTTGATGAAGGGATGTGGAGACCGTGCTAATGGGCGATGCATGGCTAGGCCATGTCAATTTTTGTTTAACTTCGGGATGTGGTGCAGGTCTGTCCTGAACTTGTTCCGGCCTTAAAGTATTTAGGACATCGGTCATGGCTCTTGAATCAGACACTTCACCTATGCCCTACTAGGGCTCCAACTACCTCCCCCCAAAGCTACTTAAGTAGGGTTTGAGAGAGTTGTCTACCTTCTTAATTCTGAACATGTAGTTTGAGCCCTACTTTGAGATGTTCACAGCGGCAACCTGATGGTACTTAACCCTCAGGTTGCCAGGTTTTGACGTTGGTTCTGGCGCCGACCTTTAGGTCGCCTTGTTGGTGCTGTGCCTCCTGCTGGATCGCTTGAACTTGGACACAGAACCCCAACTGATGCTTCGAAGACGATGGTTTTCTTTTTTTTTTTAGTCCTTTATCAGGGCGAAGCTGAGGTGTGAAACGTGAGGTGATTGGCTTGATAGTTCTTCAAGGCCGCGAACATGGGACAAGAGCGGCCTGCTAAGCTGCTAGAAGGGGAAGGGGGTCACTGGCAGTTGAATCATTGCCCATTTGGATCCATTTGGGCCATGTAGGACCTTGAGCCAACCAAGCTAATCATGGAGCCTTTTGATTCCCTCCGAAGATCTGTGCGAGTCCAGCCAAGTCCTCACTGAGAATGTTCCGTGTTCCGCCCAGGAATTCCTATTCCTACTTCACCTTGTTCGCCGCCCGGAGTGGTTTTGTAGGACCCAACACCGGGCGGAAGGGGGGGGTCATCAGATCCGGGCCGAAAGACTCCACAGAAAGGGGATTCGTTGGTGGAAGAGCGGCGCGTGTGAACATTTGGGAGTCATGGATGGACATTCCGATTCACTCGGATAGAGAACGTTGGACCGTTACGAACGTATCCCATGATCTTCTGCAGCCCTGTGGTGTCAACTCAGGTGATGTTGGAGTCCCTTTGGCTTCTACTACTTCAGTTCCAAGCAGATGTGGTTCTCATCAGTGCGACCTTAGTCCTCCGGCTGCTCGGATTGGTCTCCAGGGCCGTATGCAAGCATGAGTAAGCCATAGAAAGCCACCCTTTTGATGGAACTTAGAACCTATATGAACCCATAACTGTTAGATAAGATATTGTTAGCTATAGCAATAGAATGCAGTAGAACTGATTGTGTTTGCCCTCCATTTCAGCATTTGGAGGACTTGGATATTCTTTGTGCGGGGAAATGTGCAATCATCAATGTACAATCCAAATAGAGAGCCTTCCCCTAACAGCTTGGCATGCCCGCGCCGGGCAGGTTTCACAATCCAAATGAGGGTGTTATATAGATTACTCAACAGGCTACGTAACATAGACTTAGTCCCCCCTTCAAACTCCTTATCTACGGTCCGGCCATATGTCCTTTTCTGTCGTGAACTCTGCATACTTTAGGACCAGTGCGCAGAGAGGAGACTGTAGCTCCTTCTGGATTATACAGACTACAATGGAAATACGATCTGGAACTCACGGAGAAATGTAAGTTCCTTGTTAAATCAGATCAGATCAGGTCAGGTATCCTTGCGCAGGGCCTATAGATAACAGGTTCCTTAGAGCCCTAAAGTGGACTCATTTAAAACATGCTTTCAAAACATGAAGGCTTCAAGGCTTAATTGTTTTCCCCCCATGGTAGGACACCTACAACGTCCGACAATGGGTGTCCAATGGAGATCCCTAAGTAGTGCAGGGCAGTCCATTGGACACCCAGACAAAATGCTCCTGGTATACTTTAGGAGATCTTAGAAGTCTATGACTCAAAGCACCTTCGTTGGTGCCGTAGGCGCCGTTGGCGCCAAGAGCTGAGCCGATGTGCCGAATTGGCGCCGACAATGACCGAGGCTCAGTGGAGCGATCGACAACGACCGCGACGCCTGGGGAGGTTTCAGCCACTCGGGTGTGACGGTTCACCGGCGACGAAAGTACAGTCGAGAGGATGTGTGAAACATCAGGAGTTCCATGAGACGGAGTTCTTGGACCTCAGGAGTTCCATGTTGGGAATCTATATATGGGCTCATAGAGCCCCGCGAAGTCGTCGTTGAAGTCACCTGAGTTCGGAATCAATGGAACGATGCCAGGTTTGAGGATGTGAGTGTGTCAGAGTGATATATGACTCGATGATTTAAAGCTGTTTGTGACTGTCAATCGAGATGTTTTGGGAACTGGTGATACTGATTCCCATCAGATCCATCCCCCAATGAACCTGGCAGAGCTTCCCGGACGTTGACCCTATGACACACCATGCACACCTGTTACAGGAGAAGATCAAATGCCGTGTCCCATCAGAAGGCTTGAATTGAGTCTGGTTCTGAGAAAAAGAGGTCCCTCATCACAAAGTACATCCCATGCATCGAGACGAATCGAGACAATTGCTTGAGTGTTTGAGTCACCTGATGCTTTGATTTCGGGGCTTGCCAGGTGAGAGGATCGGCCTGAACTGATCAATCCACCTGGGCTCCGAGACATTGTCTTCTTCTCGGGAGTATCAAGTGGTTGCTCCAACGAGCACTCCATATCCTATCCACAATATCCGTATCCCGATCATCCACACCCACAAAAACATCCACAACATCGAACCTCAGAGGGTCCTGCAGATCTTAAAACCAAAAGGATGGAGGGATATGTTCCACCCCATGTTCCACCCGACAAAAATACACAGCACATCACATATGCATCACACAAACAACGGGGGCCCTCCGACCTGGAGCGACACAACTCACCCGACCGAGTCGTGAGGCAACTCGGTGGTGCTGAGTGTGGCTGTGCTGGGCATCGTCTCCGCTGGGGTTCATCACACGGGCGTCATCGACTTCATTTTCATGCGCCGGGGGGCCCGGGGGAGGACAACCGGCCGGAAGGTCGAGGCCTGACCATTTCTTTCAACGGATCTGTGATGGAAGAGGGAGGGGAGTGGTGGGGTGGGGTGGTGCACTATACGGATTGAATTGGTGCTTCTGCGTGAAGGAAAATGAGTGGAAACCGGGACAACAATGACAGCGGGGAAGTTGAAGATTTGTTTCGTCTTGCTGAAGTCATGACCAGAGCCAACTAGAAGCCTAGCTTGCACAGCACCACAGACCCAGGATGCATTTCACTTCGGTGTCCCGTTCCACTCTTGCCGAGGGCATCCACCCAGGTCAGTTACTGGTTTCATTTCCCAGGATCGGGTGTCACCGTCGGGTGTCACCCAGCTCAGGTGTGTCGGGCCATCCACTCAGTCAGGTGTATTGGGCCATCCAAAGACCTACTTCGTGGCGTTGCTCCGCTTGAGTTTGCCTGCCATGCCCTTAGCGGCCAGCATCTCCAATACCTGCGTCATGGGCGTCACTTGGCGGAGGGACGCTATTTGACGTTGCGCTGCTTTGTTGGAAGCTGTGCTCGGAGGGAGGGGAATGCTGAACCCTGAGGGTCAGAAATGTCATAGAGAACAAAACAGCCACGGTTGAACAGGAGGGCCAATCTGGAGACGAAACCCAGAAGCCACTTCTTTGGGCCGGCAAGTGTTCTGGTGTTGAGCCTTTGGAGGCTTTGGGCGATCGTGTTTTTTGTCCATGTTGTTGGCAATATGCTTTGTCCATCGGCAGCCTTGTTGTTTTTGCCGAAATGGGAAGAACTGGTGTGGGTTTGGTTCTCAAACCTTCTTGGAATCCACACATAAAATATTGGGTACCTTTCTGGTGACCCCAATGGACACCTCGGGGCTTCTGGGCGGAAATCCGGATTCCAGCGATGGAATCGGCGATGAGGGCGATGGAATCGCGCCTTGTGAGCACCGCTCACTGCGTGGTTTTCCATGGAAATCATGCCCAGTTCCCAACTCCGTCCCCGAAAGACGTGGAAGGGGAGGCAGACCTAAAAGATGACGGTAGAGGCTCTACCCGGCAGAAGTGCGTGCGTTGGTGTTGCAGAGTAGGTGAGGGGTGGCACACGATGAACCCCGGAACGCCCCTACCAAGGGGTGTACATCATCTACCTGGACCATCCAATGGGTGTCCAATGGAGATCCCTAAGTAGTGCAGGGTAGTCCATTGGACACCCAGACAGGATGCTCCTGGTAGTTTGTGTCCTTTTGAGTCAAGATAGTATATTTTCCCAACAACACAAAAAACACCTTCAGCGTCACGACGTCGAATCATGTCAAACACATTCCGGAATGTGCCGACAAGAATGCTGGCTTTCTGAGAATCATGAAAAGCTTCTGTACTATTGTGATTATTGTGTATCGTTAAACTACATGTGGAGTTTTGGGGACATGTTGATGTAAGCGAGGAATTCAATCCAAGCTGCTACCCCATTTTGGAATCCTCCGATGAATTCAGCCGTTTAGAGGGAAGCGATTGAAGGATGGTGTGTCCAGTTGGAAACAGCGGTGCCTAAGAGAAACACGATCCATCCGATGTGGTAGCTTGTGATGGTGCAATCCTTCCGCCACCTAGCCCAGCATAAGAGCTCATCAGCTACAGACAGACCCAATGTCCTAATCACCGGGCGTGTCCTCCCAACCGAAACAACTCTAACAAGGCTGACAGAAGCTGGAGAAGCTCAAACCCCTCGAGCCAGTGAAAAAAACGGTGCATCGAGGGTTTTCGTCAGTTTTCACGGTGGATCGAGCCATCCAATGGTGTTGTTCAAAAAGAAAACACACAATCAAAGCCTTCAGCGCGAAGGTAATGATTCCAGTCATTGAAAAGTGGTGCAAAGTGCCTTTGGCTGGATTCTGCACGTGGGTTGGGACTAGAGAGTGGATCAAAAAGCCTCTTTGGAAGGCCCTTGGTCAATGACAGATGTGTCTCAATACAGCAATTGAGATCTCCCAACCACTAGTTTCGTTGCTTTTGAAAAAGGCTCGGACAATCATCTAGTTTCTAAGATTTTCTAATGCTTAAGACTCTCACTCTACCTCACTCTCTCTCTCTCTATCGGCTATGGAGGTATTTTTGTTTGACAGGTTTGATCGAGCAGGTTTGCAGCCTGGTCAAAGGAGTAGAACAAAAATCTCATCCAAGTTTTCATGTCCAGTTTTCACCTGAAAGCATTCCTCAAAATCCAGAGAATCGAAGTCTTCGAGCCAAAGATCGGCTGGAGGCATGGTGAAGACGGGCTTTCTCCGGTACCAAACCGCAGCCTGGTGCTGCCCATACGTTTACAACCATTGTCTACCAGTAGAAGGAAAGTGGCTCAATAATGATCAAAAGCATGTCGACAGTGGGAGCCAGAGAAGATTCATGCCTTGCGATCGCAAAGCGGTTTTTAGTATGTTAACTATGTGTTGCATCATCATCACTTGCATGACATGTCAGAATTCTCCTCATTATGTCTCACCTGGGTGATGGACGTCTATTGATACCCAACACGTTCAGGAGATCAACATGCCGCCGCGGCTCTTTTTGATGCCAATGTCCTATATCATGCCTCTTGGGACTTGGCCAGCCGTGGATGATGTCGTGGAAGTCAGAAAAACAGTGGATATGCAGACATCGGATGCAGACACTGATTTGAAGGAGTATGACCATGTGGAATGATAAACAGTCTAAAGACCCACATGAATGATTATAAGCTTTGTTTGAACTCCAGGTAGGCTGTAAAGCGAACATGGAAAGACCTCCTTTTCACCACTGTCTTTGGTCGAAGCTCCCGAACTGGATCTGACGAGCCTTGGTGAGTCGACGCAGTCAGCCTGTCAGCCTGTCTGAAGGGCTCCACGCACGTCTCCAGAGCCTGGGAAGGTCTCCATACCAAAAGTGACTTGTGAATGTTATCCTGTCACAGGCTTCGGAATACAGCAGAATATGCAGAATACAGAATACATGGCTTCAGAACTTGGTTGAAGAGATCCCTTGACCATTTTTGTTCTTCCAGGTGAAAGCACTTGGTTGAAAGACTCCGGTATTTTCTGCAAGAAGAAATGTCCAGATTGGTCAAGTGTTTTGGTTCATCTAAGCAGAGCCTTTTCTGGCCACAATTACATTCCCTAGAATCATCGTGGCTGCATGGATGGCACCACCTGTTCGGCATGAGGATTTCATGGTGTTCCTTTCGGGCCATACCATCCACATAACCATGATGATTCCAGGGAGTGGGTTTATATATATAATATATATACACCCCCTGGAATGGTCACCTAAATTTGTATATATATATAAATTAGGTGTTGATGTTTGTTTGACCTGGCAACATTCGCGGTGGCATGGTGAACCCAGCATCGAGAACGTCGTCTCCACATTTTGTGCGACTTGGACCCGGCGAGGACGAGGACGGGTAGCACTCGTGGTGTACCCCCTTCGGTTTGTGTGCCCTGTTTCATGGCGAATGGGAGCCGAGGCTTGTAATTGGAGCATTTGTCGCTTGGCTTCAAGCTTCGGGGCAAAACGAAGTGGAATAGAATGACTGGTCCACCATCAGAGAAGGACAATTGCACTTTATGTACCCTTCCACGTCCTCAGTAGCCGTTACAGCACTAGTCCCTTACCTTCCAATAGTCATGGATCATTTCACAGCACTAGATTGCATATATAATCTCAGCACGCTTGCAAAAAAAAGAACATATTTAGTTCTTGTCACCATTAGATTGGTGTGTGTTTTAGTAGGAATCTCACCCAACCGGGTTTAAGTCTATGTTTCTTCTTCGGGGTTGTTGCCCGGGGGTCGGTCTTCCTATTTGAGTTACACATCTGAGGCCATTTTCTCCACCTCCTCGAACCTGGTGGCTCAGAGTCTCCTTCTGGAACGAGGCGCCATCGGCGCCAGGCGAACTAAGAAGCCGGTTTTCTAAGAAGATTCGTTGGCTATTGTTGGCTATTATAAGGCTAAGTTTCTCCGCAGGCAAAATCGAAAAGGGCTTCCAAACGTGTGAGACTTTTGGAGATTGGACGTCATGGAGAACTCACCTTAGTGAGATGGAAAACTGCTTGAACTGAAGGCAGAACTCACCTTTTCCCAGGTCATATTAGGCATGTCAGTCTTTTTTCTGAGAGACCACTGCATAAGAGTGAGGACTGACTTCATGTCAGGTTTTGCCCTCCTCTTCCCAGTGATCCCCTCTTCAGATGACTCGTCGTCGGAAAATCCAGCTGCCACGAGTCCTCTCATCCTTCCTTTGAGACCCTGGCCTCGGCCTGGTCGCAGCGAAGGTTTGGAACCTTTTGGGAACTTTGAAATCTCCCCCTTGTCCATCACCTGCGGCTTGGCGCCTGGGCGGAAGAAAACGGCATGCCCACGGGACGTTCTTTTTTCAAAGGACAGCCGGCGAGGAAGCGCACGGGGCCAGAAAGGCTCCGGTGGAGCAGAGGTTGTTTGGAGGACAATACTAGCATGGGTGTGCATTTGAACAATTATGATTTTTAGCCAAATTGTTTGAGTCCTGCTTATTCTCCCAGAGGTTTAGGGAGCCTCCCTGCTTTAATTGATGCACGTCCTATTACAATTATTATGTGTATCCAAAGCATCATATGCGAAGCTGACCCGGCAATATCCAGTTTTGATGTCACATACTGGTAGCTTTAATGCCAGTTGGCATGATGTTATTGCCAGACTGAATGAATCGTTCAACCAGGCCCAAGGAATACCCCTATATACTACTATATACGGTAACCGCAATCAAAGCGTGCTACTGTATGTAGCTAAGCTTCCCATTGAAATGTTAAATAACATTTGCATGTTGATTGACATAGTCGATGCAACATCGTGCAGGAAAACTGCACCATACGCCAGGACCAGGATGCAAACAGGTCTAACAGTTTAAGGTTGAATGTGGACACCCGACAAAAAACACCCAACCTGCACTGGGCCCCTCGGAAAGACAAACCTATCCCTCACTTGAAAGAGGGTCTAGAAGAATGAAACCTGGCGCAGGTGCACCTTCACCTACCTATAGGAAAAGTATGGAACAGTTGGATCATTTGCCCAATCCTTTTTGGGGGGATTGGCAACACCCCACTCCAATCCAACCAGCAGAAAGTTCGGTTCACCTGTCCTTTTCATCCGCGCAAAAACGGCGCCAAAGCGCGAAAATCCGCCTCAGGCGACCTTGCTCTACCTGGCGGTCGCCGTGCCGATGCCCGGTGCTGCGAGTGGGAGGGCAAGAGGAGGGGAATTTGGCCTTGAGAAGATCACACTGGCAGATTTGTATGTTGGTTTTTGTTCACGTAAACGAGGTGCTTGGGAGAGTCGAGTCTTAGACAATAGAGTTCAAGAACTCATCAACCAGCTGGTTGCCTGGAAGGTCCCCAAGCAATCTATAATTGGTGTAGGGGTTGAAGGGGTGCTCGTTTTCACCAGCCCTTGGCAGTGCTGGCCGTTGCGCTTCTAGCTCGATCCGGCCTCACTTTTGGGGGGGAAAGGTCTGTATCAACCATCATCATCAATCTGTTACTGCATAGTACAAAACAGTTCCTGTTAATTACTGTTACTGACTAGTTGTCTGTGGGTACAAAAACGTACGCTGATAAGATTGATATTTGAAAGATCAATCTGTTGCTGGTAATGGGACATACCCTTACAGAGCTCCCCTAAGAATCGGGGCCAACCCAACGGAAAGGGTGTTTTTGTTTTTTTTGTTTTTCGGGACCGTGTTGTCCCCCGGTCAGTGTCCAGTGTCGTGTGATTGGAGGGTCAAGGGTTCTTGGGGTGAAGATGTGATTTTTCCAGGAATGACACATGATTTATGCTTCTCGCACGGGCAAAAGGAACACATTCATGATTCATTCCTAGGTATCCTTTCTTCCCCTACCTTCCTGTGATATGGCCAGCCGATCCAAGGACTTTGCTCTACATCGAAGCCTCCGAGAGCCCCACGCCCTCCTTGTCCCCGAAGGCAATGCCGTCGCCTCGACCATGGTTCAGCAGTCCATGTGCTCGTCGGACGACTTAGATCCGGACCCAACCATTGGGGTCTTGATCATTCTGGAGCAAGACACCCCGTCGCAGTAGTATTGTGACCCTAATATGACCTAAGCAACCATGAGTATAGATGTTCATGATTGATGGAGCAGGGAGCCTACTGTGGCCCAGCCGAGTCAAGACGAAGCCAGGCCACTGCTTCGACGAAGCTCTTCCTCGCCAACAAGCTCTTTCTGGCAAACATCCAAATCACTGGCACCCTTCTGCAGGGGAAGCAGGGGCCCCAGGGCGGCCATGAACCCATTTGCTAAAGGAAGCATGGCATTCAAGACACCACCAGGCATCAGGCATGTACAAATCTAGGTAAACAGTGGGATGTCTGAAATGTCAGGTCAGGGGGTGGCAGGATGTGTTTCTTCAAGAGTGGTGATAGGCGGTTCGAGCTTGCTACTTTTGTGCTCACACGTTCTGGATCTATGAAGAATGACAATTCAAATTCAATGTTTCGACTATCACGTGTGGGCATGTTTGGAGTGCGTAGATGTTGGAGTTGGGGGGCGAACTGACCCACTCAGTGTCTTAGATGACATCACATCCCCATTCTTCCTAAGATGGTTGGGTTGTAAGGACCCAGCCCTTCGCCTGACATTCGAATGGTGGGTTCTGATTTGAGGATGGACCAGAAACTGAAGCCACCTGTCTCCCCAAGAAAATGGAAGACTGGCGGGCCACTGTGGTTCTCAAGACGTTTAAATGCCTAAAGGTTCTGTTTCCAAATGTGTAGTGGATCTCAGAAAGTGTCATTTGGAGCCAGTGCTAACTCTGGTTTTTGTTTGACTCGAACCGCTGGCCGCTTTGTTGGAAGCCTCAAACCACCACAAGTTCTGCAGCTGTTCCTACCTAAAGATCCTGCTCCAGTGTTTCCTTTCATCCAACGGGGTCGCCCAATGTCGCCCAAGAGGGTGTTCCTGTTTTCTCATCATCGGAGTCGCTCAATGTGAGTCGTTCAAGGTCGCTTGATAAGGAGGTCAGTGAAGCGTATCACATTGCGGAGGAATTTCCTGCGTCTCCGACGGACGAGTCTCCAGGAGACGTGAGATTTCTGTGAGGAATCTGAGGCGCACGTACGTAGGTAATTGATTGTGTGGACCTGGAAACATGCATTCGCAAGACGGTCAAAAAGAGCTGGTTAAAGGGGTTCTTGATGTTCTTTGATTTTCTTTGCAGCCAAGAATGGATTCATATGGATTCTTTGCACCATCTCCACTCCAGAACCCAACGATCTCCATCCATTCCCGCCTCCAGCTCGCTCCAGCTCATCGCTCGAATGAAGACGACGCTCAGGTCCCTGGCGGAGTCGGGGCTCTTGACCCATGTGGGCAAAGTCGCCAGCATCGTCCGCGTGGAGCGCATGGGCGAGGAGGCCGAGCTTGGACGGTGAACCGCGGACTGATGGACTGGGTTCGGTGGATGGCGATGGCGCCGGAGTGCCATCGGAAAAGTTGGACCCTGAGAAAATGAGGGATCAGGAAATTCCACGTCGACTCTATACATTTATAGTCAAGGACGGGTGGTAGGCAGAAACTTTTCTGCTTACTGCACCCCTGAAATGGTGGATTTTGGCATTTTTGGGACTGGTACAAACATTTACATACCAGGATTCTCACTGCCAGGACACCGGTTGGGCTGTTTGGAGAATGTAGTGTAATTTTGATTTGTGCTGGTGGACATGATTGAATCTCCGTCAGATTGACTTTTGGAGATTCAGTCTGAGATCGCATCTGCTGACACGAACTCCTATCCTCCAGACACGGTAGCTGGATTCGTTCGTGGCCGGACCACAGCTGTAGCTGTTCAGTGGAGATCGGATCGCGCGATCGAGACCCGGAGAGCTCACAAGCTCGAGACCCGGTGTCGCCATGATCTTCGGCGTGGGCGACCTACTGATGAAGGCCGTGAAAGTGACGTGGCTCAACGTGCGATGGGCCCGCGGGGTGGGGCCAGGTGGTTTCGCAGATTCCTCAGGGGAGTTGCGTGAGGACCTCGCAGGGTTGAAGCAAAACCGGACATCGCACGGCTTGGTTCAGCGGGATCATACGCTGCAGGAGTCATTCATTTTCGTCATGGGGATCGAGGAAAGGAACCCTAAACTCGATCCCGAAGGGTGTCCTGGACGTCCCGAAGGGCAGCATGTGATGTTCAAGCAACGATGAAAGGAAGGGAACCACAGCCTGTCATCCACAAAGCACCGGACGGAATATAGATACTGACTGACATTCTAATATTCATGACGTTCAGTATACCACCTCTTTGGTCTTCAAAGTCTTCAGATTTCATGGTCATCCGTACCACTAGTACGGCCACTACTACCATCCATCCATCCATCCATCCATCCATCCATCCATCCATCCATCCA